ATGACTGCGCGCGCGCGCCCGCCCGCTCCGAAGATGGGCTTACGGCCGGAGTCGCCCTCGCCAGACACGGCGCCGGCGGCCCAGGCGACCAAACGTTCGCGCATGGAGCCAGAAGCGCCCGCACGCGGGGCTGCTGGCTCGAGGCGGGCGCGAGGGCTGGCCACTACGCCTCAGCCCTGCGGCGGGAGCTGGCCTGGCCGCGGGCGCTCCAGAAGGCCGAGGAGGAGCACCCCGCCGCGGGCGTGGCGGTCGCCGACGAGGGGGCCCGCGGCCACGAGCCAGAGCCCGAGCGGCCAGCTGCCAGGCGGCGCCCGCCGCCCGCGGCCGGCGGCGCCGGCCTGGCGCGGTGGCGGTGGGAGCCCCAGGTCGCGCTCGAGGACGCCACCGAGCCCCCGCAGCGGCAGGCAGTCTCCACCCCCGCAGCGGCACAGAGATGGGCACAGGGGGCAAGGGTCCGACGCTGCATCGGGGCAGGCTGCGGAAGAGCCCCCAGTGTCACGGCAGCCTCGGCGGGGCAGCGGCCAGAGGTCTGGAGGTATTGCGGGGCCTGCACAGGAACTTCCCTCTGACGGTGCGGCGAGACCGCCAGCGCGGGAAGAGCTCCCATTGTCGCGTAGCGGCCAAGCGTCCGACGGCGTGGCGGAGTTGGTGATCGACCCCCCTGGCCAGCCCACGTCAATGGGCAAGACCGCCGGTGGTGGTGTGTGCGAGGCCACTGGCAGCCCCGCTGGTGTCGACAGAGAATTCTGGGACCTGCTGAGGGAGCGATTATTCGGAGACCCCGCCGCGCCGCGCAAACTGCCGCCGTACGCTGAGGCCCGTAAGCTGCTCCGCTCCGACCCGCGCTGGAGAGCGGTGGGGTCACAGGAGTCTCGTCAACGCTTGTACGCCACTGCTTCCTTGGAAGCTGCAGAGCGATGGAGCGCAGTCAAACAGGAACCAGGTGGTGAAGACGCACAGCAGGCCGCTACGAAGGCAGCAGAGGATTGTGCCACCGCAGAAGCGCGGCCGGCCAGACAAGAGAAGGTTCCTTTGCAGGCAAGGCACATTGCGTCCAGCGCTTCTTCCGAGCAGCCCCTCTCGAGTACCAGGGCCGCTAGCAAGGGAGCCGAAGGCGGCGCGACCCTGCAAGCAAGGCGCGCGGCGCCAGGCGCTCCTTCCGACCAGCCTGCCGCCAGCGCCAGCAAAACAGCCGAAGGCGACATGACCCTTCAGGCAATTCGAGCGGTGCCTGACGCTTCCTCCGAGCCACCCACCGCGAGCTCCAGGCCCGCCGACGAAGGGACCGAGGGCAAGTCGATCGACGCAGCGCAGCTGGCGAAAGAGCAGCGCGCACGGTGGCAGGCAGGGCCTACAGCGCCAGGAATTCCGTCCGAGGCGCAGGAACACCTTCGGACCGTTGGGACTGTCGCCAAGAGTGGTGAGGGAGGCGCAGTAGAACCCGCGCGGCGGGGGCGACGGCAGGGGACGCTTCAGCAGGCAGGGCACACGGCGCTCGGCAGTGCCGCTGAGACACACAAGCGCACGGCCAGCGTCGAGGCTGCAGTCGAGGAGGCCGACAACGGCGCGGCCGACATAGCACGTCCGCAGAGGCATTCAAAAGCATCCCGGTCGGCTCTGCCATCGGCGCTTTGCACTACATCGGAGGCACAGGCGAATTTTGCGAGCAGTGAGCTTGTCGACGAAACGGTTGGCGATGACATTGTCGAAGTGGCGCGGCCGAGTGGGCAGCGTGAGGCACTTGAGCGTTCGCTCGGTGCTTCGAAGGCGTGGAGGCGCACGAATGTTGATACTGTGGAAGCTGGCGCAGCTGAAGTGGCGCGGCCTGAGGCGCAGACGCGCGACGGAAACGCAGAGGCTCTCACCAAGAGTTGCGAGGGCGATGCGACCAAAGCGACCCAGCCTGGAAAGCGGCAGGAGGCACCTCAGCGGTCACAACTTGCATTGCTCAGAACGCCATCAGATGAACACGAGCGTTCCTTCGGTGCTAAAGTTGCCGTCAAGCATACTGTGGGCTGCCTGACCGAAGCGGCGCGGCCGGGGAGGCTACAGGAGTCCCAGCAGCCGATCCAGCACGCAGTGCTCGACATATCTTCCCATGAAGAGAGCCGTGGCGCAAACGCTGGGATCGTTGTCCAGGGCGCCGACGACTACGCTGCTAAAGCGACGCGGCGTCGGCTAGGGTGGTGGCAGCTGGCACCTCAGCATTTGCAGCATGCTGATCCTAGCCATTCGTCCGACAGGAAGGAGTGCAGTATCAGCGTGGAGGCTGTCGTCGAGACGGTCGAAGCGGCGCAGCTGAGGAAGCAACAACTGGCACCTCAGCAGGCAAGGCATCTGGCGCTCGGCGTGTCTGCCGAGGTACAGAAGCGCAGCATGAGCGTTGAGGCCGTCGCTGGGAACGGCGAAGAAGATGCGGCTGAAGCGGCGCAGACAAACAGGCGACAGGAGGCACTTCAGAGGGCAGTCAGCATCCAAAGTGTATCTTCAGAGCTGGAGCTTTAATTCTACTCCGCCAGAAGCTGTAGAGTAGTTCACTTCTGGCTGCTTGACTTACGGTGACTGTGTTTTTGGGCGTCTAGGTGCGATTCTACCGTTCCCAGATCCTGAAGCCCGCGAATGGGTCCTGAAGGCCCAGTGTCCAATCATATTAGCAGCCCCGACCAGCCCCACACAAGGTGTTCGACATTCGCGCCCGTCATCTCTGTAGAGAAATCTCTTGCTTGTCTCGCGGGGTCCCTCCTTGGGGCCCGATGCCTAGGTCGCACGGCAAAACATCGGCTTGTCTTCAATGGGGTCGGTCCGCGCCCCCTGTGGCGATTGGGGCGGCAGTCTCAAGGTACCCAGGACCGTCCAGCAGGCTGCCGTGGCTCCTGAGGTGGGTGCTTCAGGGGGGAGGGTGGAGGGGGCTGCAGAGGAGAGGCGGTGATTGTGATCAGTGCCCTGGTCGGGTCCCACTCAGGCTCGGCGCGTGGCGCACGGCACTTGCTCGCCCGAGGCGCCGGCGGACCCGACGGGCTTTCGGCGTGCCACGCGCGCCAGCGGGCACGGACGAGCCCCAGGCGCTGTGCGCGGCGAGCTGGCGACGCAGAGAGCCCGGGCGGAGGGGCGCCGGCGAACACCCACGGATGCCGGCGAAGCCGCAGGCGGTGTGGCTCCCGGGCTGGAGGGCTGCGCTCGCTCGAGCCGGCAGGACAAGGCAGGGGACCGAATGCAATGCGCGAAACAATGCTGCTCCAAGTGTAGCCAGTCAGCCGATGCACATCGAGAGGGGCGCGTGGGAGGAGCGGACTGCGTCGGAGGGCTGGTGCGGAGGGGCCATTAGATCGCGTCGTTCGAGGGGCCCTCCCCCGTCGGTCGTCACCGCGGGCGCCACCATCCTCTTTGGCACGCAGGGTCCTGGGAACCATCGGATCTTCGAAGCATCCGCTCTCTCCCTCCGCATCAACCCATACACCGAGGCGGCGGGAGCTCCTCGGTCCTTTCTGTTCAGAGGACTCTTTTATGCAGGTGTATGTGGGGCAGAGTGGGTAAGGCACGGCCCGGCCACAGGGCAGGACACAATCCGGCAATGAGCGGAAGAGAGCCTCCAGCTGTGCCCCCAGAGGTTTGGCGAGATACCACCCCGCCTCCAGGGAGGCACCTGCCGCTTCCGCTTCGGCGGCGGGGAAGCGCCATCGAGATCGACGACAGCGGCTCCGACCCTGGCTGCAGGGAGCTGCCACGGGCCAGCGGCGAGACCAGAGCCGGCGGCGAGGCCATGTCCGAGGCGGGGGCGGCGTAGCCAGCGGAGAGCTCGATGGCCGATCGCCCAGGGGGGTGGCCGGGGCAAGGAGGAGGCCCTCTCCCCCTCCTCCTCCTTCAAATTACCCATGTCCTCCTCCGCCTTCTCCACTCTCCTCCCGAATCGTCTCCTCTTGAATCCTTCTCCGCTATCAGTCTTATTCCCAACCCTTCAGTGATGGGGCTCTTGTGTTCAATCCAGCACTGTGGTCTGCCTCTTCCTCCTTTTCCTCCTCCTGCCCTTTCACGTGTTGCAGGCAAGACGTTGTAGTACTTCTCTTCGCCTTGCTGAGAAATACGACGCCCTCTTCATTCAGGAAGCACATGGGCACACAGGGGATCTTTGCTCTCTCTCCCGTTTCCTCTTCCATCATCGTTGTGTTGGTTCCTTCTGCGCAGATGGGATCAGTGGTGGTGTTCTCGTAGGCGTGCAGGAACGGGTACATATTCACTTCGACACATTCGGCACAATGGATAATCAGAGCGGCAGGTGTATGTGATTATCTGATTCCGTGTACTTCCCATACCAACTCCAACAATAATCTGCAGTCAAGAAATAGTAGTTGGCAAAAGTTGCTCGCTTGCTTGACCCCATTCACTCGTCCGTGATCGTCGGAGGTGACTGGAGCTCTTGTTCTCTAGGAGAGTCTCGCCAGCATGTTGACCCTCAGCTAGATCGTACCCCGTCAGGTTCGCTCGCTCCTGCATTTGGTCGGCGATTCGCTCGATACACTGAACTCGTTCAAGACAATCAATCTCGGTTCCCGTAATCCCGGTGGTCGCCGCTCGTGGGGGCGGGGGCAGGGCGCCCGAGAGAGAAGGGAACTGGGATTTCGGGCTCCTACAGGCCCGATCTCTCCAAAATCCCGGTTCCCACCATCCCGGCGGTCGCCGCTCGTGGGGGCGGGCGCTCGGGGCGCCTGACAGAGCCAGGAGCCGGGATTTCGGGCTTATCTGGCTTAGATCTCTCCAAAATCCCGGTTCCCGCCATCCCGGCGGTCGCTGGTCGCGGGGCCGGGGGCCCGCGGGGGCGGGGCGCATGCATAAGCCAGACTGACGGAAGGTTTTCTCAAAGCTGACAAGCTCCGCACACGGATCCCCTGCGGCCCTGCGCGCACCCCACCTCCGATCTTCTTGGGCGATTTTGCAAAGGCGTCCCGAGCGAGGGCGCGGGAGGCACCGGAAACCGGGATGTCCGCGCCTTCCGGGCAGGTCTTCTGCAAAATCCCGGTTCCCGCCAGCCGCGGGGCGCAGTGGCGTGCAAGTCTTGCCTCCTGGCGCCCCTGCGCCCTGCGGCTGGCGAGAACCAGGATTTTCGTCGGCTCCTGTCCGGGACGTGTGGAAATCCCGCAGGATTAGGAGGAGCTGGATGAGCAGTAGGATCTGGGGAGGGCGGGGTAGGGGAAAGGAGGGGCGACAACGACGAGGGAGGACTCGGATTCCGAAGTGTTGGGGGCGAGAGCGGTTTTATGTTGATGTTCGTGTTGGGGAGGGTGTTACCACAAGGGCTTCCCATGGCGAATGATTTTTGTGTGTGTGTGGCTTATTTACACCGTGATTCCTTATGTGGGGGCCCCGAGGCCCTTGGGGCCCCCGTGCCCTTGGCGAGCCGCGGTGGCCGCTCCCGGCGGCCGCTGCCCCCCCAGTGCAACGGAGGCGCTCGGCGCCGCCGCCGGGGCCTCGAGGAGGCGCTGTCGCGCGGCGGCGGCCCGAGGCCCGCCGTCCAGCCGCGAGCTCGCTGGCCAAGGGGGCGCTGCAGTCGGAACTTTGGGGTGGGGTCCACTCCCGGCTCGGGCACCGCACGGGTTTTTCCCTTGGCGCTCCGCGTGCACCTGGGCGCGCGCAGCTGAGACACCAAAGGAGCTTCATTCCTCATCCAGTGCACCGCGTGGGGGGGGCGGGAATGCTCTCTGTGCGTGACGTTCGTTGTTCGGGGTGTGGAAGAAAACGCAGTGTCGTGGACATCCTGTCAGGTTTCTGGGTGGCTGGTTGGGCGTGCGTGGTGCCTGCAAGCGGCCCTCCATGGGATGTTCTCTGAGAGGCCTCCGGGAATGTGGGGGCGGGCTCCTCTGGAGTGTTCCCAGAGAGGCCCAGAGGGCGGCACCGAGAGGACACCCGAGAGACCCGCAGTGACAAGCATCATTGACTCTGTCCAGGTGCTGTGTGATTGTGGTATGCTCGCCTTTGGGGTTTCCATGGCCTTCAGGACGGCCTAGCCCAAATGATCGCTATCCAGTCGTCGGGTGTTTTCTTAATTGGCGCGAAGGTTGCCCGAATTGCCCCAAGGTGGCGCCCCGGAGGCCCCAAGACGAGTTTCGGGAGCACGTTGGGCTCCGATTTGGTTTGGTAACTACTACTTGATTTTGGAGGCCATGTCGGGACGTTGCAGGGCCCAGAAATCGTCACCACATCCATGCTGACAGGCTTTGAAGTCGTCAGCAAATCCCATCGGCAACAACATTGGCGTACGTGTTTGCGCGAGCGACGCTGCGTCTACGCGTGCGCTTGTGCGCGAGCCGAAGTTTTGCAACGTGGGGTAGAGGGACTTCCCCTTATATGACAGAGCAGTCCCTCCAACCGTTTCTCAGCCACAACACAATACTGGCGTGTCACGCCTCCTTCTTGGCCTCGGCGAGGCAATCACAGACGAGGCGGTCTCCAGGATAGCCAACCAGATGGCACGCGATGGTCTAAGATTGCCTCCACTAGCAGAAGACGAAGCCTCCCCGGGGCCCTGAGAGACCAAAAACTGACGACGTCTGAGGTCGTTCATCAATTGTTGCCTCATCGCTTTCGGCCTCCAATCTGTTCGTCGGGTTTCAATGTGAATCACAGATCGCCCAAGAGAGGCCTAACAAGGGCCCATAAAGGGCCCAAGACAAGCCTGGGTGCCCCCATAAGGATCCCGAGCGGGCTCCAATAGGGCCTCCATTTGGCCCTGTGATGATTCTAAATCTCCAAGAGGCCAGCCGTGCCACCCGACCTTGACGCCACGCTGGTCGTAAGACAGTCCCAGGAGGGCTTTGCAGGCAGCAAGCCTTAATAGTACCCACAGGGAGCCCCCAAAGGGCCCAACACAGGACCCCTAATCAATCCCATAGAGCGTCACAAGAGTTTCCAGACGTTCCCCCGCCTTTCAACAAATCCTCGGCGTCCTGAGGCCGATGTCGCGCGCGTCCGCCTGAAGTCCTTTTCCAGAACGGGTTTCTCTCCCCCTTCGCACCCTCCATCCCGATTTCTGCAGAACAACTCCTCCCAAAGCGGGCATCAAGTGTGTCAATGGGGAAGTTCTGGCTTTTTGCTGAGACTTCCCCATCTTCTACGACCTTGAAGCTGTAAGCTCCCAGCAGTTACGTGCATTGAGGTTCAACATGGGGCTCTCGCTTTGGAATCGCGCCGCGCACACTCGCCTTTTAACATTAGGCATCTCATGCTGCTGATGCAGGGCCCATTGTTTTCACAAAGGGGCTCTCGCCTCGCCTTGACGCCGCGCAGCCCCGCCGATCATTTCCAGCACCTGCACGGGTGCAGGTCGGCTCTTTTCCGACATGGGGTTCTCGCGTGGGGTTTACACGAATACCACCAGGACAATCTAGAAGCTGTGAGTGGACTGCACGGACGGAGGGCGAACCGTTTTCAAAATGGTGGTCTCGCTTGAGGTGTCGCTTGATCTGCATGGCCAGAAGACGAAAATTGTGCAACCGATGCACGGGTGGAGGGCGGTTTGTTTTCAAAGCTGGATTGTTTCTGGGCCCATTGGGCGCTCGTCTTTCAAGGCGGGTGCTTCGCGCAGTGAGAAGCAGACTTTCTAGGGCATAGCGGGGCCCGTCAGGAAGGGAACTGAGATGGGAGAGTGGATTCCAGCATCGTTGATGTATCGTTTGTTTACTCTTGTCCTCCCCCTCCTCCTCCTCCTCCTCCTCCTCCTCCTCCTCCTCCTCCTCCTCCTCCCGTCTCTCTGGGGATACCCTCCTCATCCTCATCTCCTCCTCCTCCCCCTCCTCCTCATTTGCCTTGCTCTGTCCTGTCGGCTCCCCAGGCAGGCGGGCCGGGCGTTTCGCTCCAGGCCCCCCCCCACCTCTTACGCTCCTGAGGCTTGAAATTCGTTGCAGCTTCAAGGGCGGATGGTGGGAAGTTGCCAAACTGAGGCTCGTCTCAGCGCCGCCGTCCCAACAGTATGCGACAACCTTGAGGATGGAGGTGAGCGTTTTCAGAGTCAGGCTCGTGCTTTAGCGCTGCGCGCAAACATCGTGAAAGTTCGCAAAAGCTTCAGGGACGGGAGGGCAGTTCATTTTCAAAGCGGGGCTCTCGCCGTAGCGCCGCGCACGCTCTTTTTTCAAATGTTGCAACCAGTTCAGGGATGGGGCACAGGTCGTGTCCAAATTGTTGCTCTTGCCTCAGCGTCGCGTGCATGGTTACTGCACACTTGCAATAGTTGGAAGGGCGGAGGACGATTCTGTTTCAACATGGGGCTCTATCTTGAGGCTTAAGCCGAAGCGCTAACACTTGTAGGTAGCGTTGCACTGGTCAAGGGTGGCTTCTTTTCAACATGGAGTTCTCGCTTGAGGTACCCTCGAAGTTCGTGACCACAAGTATGCACTGGTGCAACAGTCCAACGCAGGGGAAGGGCGGGTCATTTGTTGAAAGGGGCGAAAGGCGGACACCTATCGAACGCATCGTTAAAGTTGATTTGTCTGCCTATCGTGCTCGTTGTGCTTATGCGCTCGGGGGATGCACCGCAGCTCCTTTTTCAAAACGGGAGCCTCTCCAAGACGGCAGGCCCATATAGTGCTGGTCTCTCAAAAGGGGCGCCTCTGTAGTAATAAGGAAAGCTTGGAGGGACGTGTGCGGAGGGGACCTGTGACGGGAAGTTGTACTGCAGCATGTTTGATGCATTTTGGGTTTGCTTTGGTCATCCGCTTCCACTTTTTCATCCTCCTCCTCCCACCCTCTTCTCCCTTCACAGGCGCCTTCCGAGGGTGCCCCCCTACGGGCGATTCTACCGTTTGTCACTGATGTTGGCAGTTCTGCTTGCCAGCTTCGGTGAGGCTCTTGAGGCTTCGATGTGGCACCAAGATCGCCCAAGAGAGGCCCCATGAGGTCCCAGGAAGGGCACACGACGGGCCCGGATGCCTGCATGAGGACCCTCACAGCGCTCCGAGAGGCCCCCCAAAGGCCCCAGGAGAGCTCGGCACCGTGATAAGGCCTACAATGCACCTGTACCTGACCTTACGCTGATCGCAGGGCGGCCCCAGGAGGGCTCCTCAGGCTTCAAGAAGCTCCACGAAAGCCCCCAAAGGGCCCAAACTCAGTCCCAAAGGGTCCCAAGACCATCCCAAAAGAATGTCAAAAGAGTCCCAAGAGGCCCCCTCCAACCCTGAAATTTGATGCACCGCCCAGTCCGGATTTTCTGCAGTGCCTTGTCGTTCTCCTCGGCTGGCCAGGGGCGGCCACGGCGTCAGATTGCCAGCCACACCCGGTCCACATGTCCGGGTGTAGGTGGTTTAGGATGCCAGCTCTTCCGAAACAGCCTGGCCTTTCTCGCGATGTGCCAGAGGGCCGGTCTGGGCCACGCATGGCCCTTCTTGCCCCAGGACGCCCAGGATGGTCGCGAAGATCATGGTTTCAGCATGTTTCCAAGCGGTCCCAAGCGAACGCCAAGACGGCCCGAGTTGAACATGGAGCCTCCCAAGACTGCCCCCGACATGCAACAACCATTGAAAGAGTGATGGTGTGTCGCTGAGGTTTGCCGTTTCGCCTCGTCGCCTCCGATGAGTTTCTGGAGATCTCATTTAGCTCGAAGATGGCCCAAGAGAGACTCACACGAGCCCAGTGCCCGAATGCCCCCAAGAGCATCCCGAAAGCGTCCAAAGAGGGCTCCCAGAGGTGATGTCTCGGGCACCTAAGGTGCGGGCGGTTCAAATTCGGACCACCATCTCTTTGGGCCAATCGCCGTCAGGATTCCACAAAGGCGTTCCATTACTGGCCCCAGGAGCCCCTTCCAAAGGGTCCCCAAGTTGGCCATTGTCAGGGGCTGTTGGGAGGACCCCAGTTTCGGGTTCAATGGTGTCCCCCGCCTCTTCGTTTCCTTAACGCAATCCTACTACCCTTCTCACGGCAACTCGTCTGGTAGTCGTGTCTCTGTAGTTCGGAGTGGATACGCGAAGCGTCAGTAATTGTCTACACCCGGAAATAGTTTGTGTGTGCACATGCAAAGCAATATGAGGAAGCCTGTTGGTCATTACGTAAAGCATTCGGACATGCATGATAATATGGTCAGAGAACTTAGTCTTCGTAGCCTGGTAGTCCTGAAAGTGAGCCAAAGGGGGGACATTGCCCTGAGGGGTTCATGCGGGCAACCGAATCGATTCGTGGGCCCGGCGCCCACCTGCGAGGGCCAGGAGGGGTCAGGAGTGGCCGCATGGTGCCTTTGGGCACGAAGGACCACAGAGGCCAGCGAATCCGCTCTTGGACCTCACACCTGCACACGAGAGGCAATGACGGGCCAAGAGGGACCACGAGGGGCCAGGAGGGACCCACACTCGAACGCCATGAGAGCTTACAGAGGACGAGCCACGCGGCAAGCAAATCGATTAGAGTGCTGAGAGAGCAGCGGCCCGGAGGGAGGCGGCGCAGGTCCCCCTCCCCGGCAGTGCGCCGGGCCGGAAAATAGATCAGTGTGGCGTGGAACAAATATCCGTGGTGTGTCGAACAGATGAGACTTTTTTGGCGATCGCGGCACTCGCGCGCAGCGACGAGGCGGAGAAAGTGCAGCAACCAGCGAAACTCGCGCGGTGGCCGGGCCCTCAACATCGCTTAGGATGTGACCTACCAGCGTGAACCATCAGGGCGTGGATGGCGGGGAGAAAGCAGGCGGGACCATGGGAAGGGCTCGCTATAGCCGCATGAGATGGCAGCGCGATAAATTGCTCGGGCATGGACAGCGATGAAAAAATGCACACCAATGAGGCAGCTTCACGGCGGCAGCGTAGCAGATGCAGAAAGGAGCCCCCAAACCTACACGCACATGAGGGCCGGCAGGAGCGTCGTGGGGCAGCTGGCAGTGGACCGAGTCAATTCCCGTCCAGCCGCCACCACATCCACGAACGGTGATCCTAGGCGCCCCCAGCGCACCCGCAGACGAGGGCCACAGGTGGCCACGAGGCGCAAGGCACGATAGGCCACGTCCCACATCTTAGATTTGGAGCTCCCACGGCCCACCCCCCCGCAACTCACGCATGCGGATCAGGAAAACCACTGGGGGTCAGGGGGCACGAGAGGCCACTGGACACAGACCTACGAGTCGAAAACACCCACCGCACGACGAACCATAAGAGGCCACTGAGCACGAGAGGGCACAAGCCACGCGCTACGTAGGCACATTTCGAATATCACTTCTTACTTTTTAGGGAACTCGGGATTCATTGGAAAAGGCTCTCCTAGCGAAATTTAATCATGGAGCTTATGACCATGAGTACTTGTTCCTCAAGGCTCCCGCTCTCCTCACCCTGTCCACTGTGTTTACTGCGCATCCGAATTGCGACCATGTATTGCGAGCGTCACCATTTCGGGGATCGATGCTCACGTCGGGTCAGAAGTATTCAACCAGAGAGTCCGCTTCCTGACGCCCTGGGCAGGAGACGGCGGCGGTCTGGCCACCACCACCCACGCCCGGCGGGCCACCAGCGAGGCGCCAGCCGGCCCAGTGGCGGGGAAGGTGCGAACGCCCCGCCGGGGGCGCCCCCCTTTCTGGGCGAATTCCAACCGCCCGGGTAGCAGATAACACTAGTTCCTCGGTCGCAGCCCTCTCCTTGGGAAGGGCCTCCCGCTTTCCATGGCCATATCGAGTCAAGACATGCAATTCAACAGTATGAATACTACTGTCCCCCCTCCCCTGAAGTTGTCTGGGAGATCCCCCGTCCCCCCCGCCTTTTTTTACACAGGATTACAAACATTGATTTGTTGTACGCGTTTTATTGTCCAAGTGTTTCTGGTGTTCCAGCATGGTGCTCCCGCTGCATCGTGGGCCTGAGTTTCGGATCGGCACGTTGCTCCCGTCTTTCAGAATGGCGCTCTCGCCCCAGCGCGGGCCACTTTTCTGGATCCCAGTCTTGCTTCGCTGTGGTCCCCCCCATCATTTTCTCTTCTCCGCCTTGCCGTGGTCCTCCTGTTCCTCCCCCGTCCACTCCAGTTCCTGCTGCTGCTGTTCGTCTCGCCCCAGCTCGGGCCACTTTTCTGAATATGAGTCTTTCTGCGTCGTTGTCGTCCCCCTCATTTCCCCTCCTCTTCCCTTGGTCCTCCTTTCCTTCCCCATCCTTCCGCTTTATTTCCTGCTGCTGCTATTCCTCCTAATTCTTTTCCTCCCGCTCATCCTCCTGCTTATCCTCCTGCTCATCCTTCTGCTCACCCGCCTCCTCCTCCTCCTCCTGTGCACGCAGCCCCTTCTTCCGATTGCTTGTAACACGAAGTGATTTTTCTGTGTGGGTCGCAGGTCGGCTATGACACTCGTCAGCTGATTCAGATGAGGCGCGAGCGCACCCAGCTCGCCTCTACCTTTGTCTTCGGGCCACTCTCTGCGGAATCCGTAGCCTACCGCACCATACGCTTCAAGCCCCGACCTGGAGCTTGCCCACATCAATCATTTGAGGCAGAGCCCCATCGTGCTAGCTCCTCGTGTTTCCGTCTCTGCGGCCTGGAGCGGCGCCCATTCGGCGGCAGCGCTTGCACTGGCAGCTTGAGCGCATGTCGTGGCAACCGGGGCGCCGCCCAGACTTCAGTACGGGGCTGGCCGTGCCGCGAGACGCACCGCACAGGTTGGGAGGGCGGCGGGAGGGCGCACGGCGCAGTGAGTGAGTCCAGCGTCAGCTTGCTGCTGCCGTCCGCAATCAGCTACTCGAGCAGCAGCGCTTCCCGTCGTGCCCGACATGGGCCTCACCAGGGATCGTGGCCCTGGGAGCTCACATCCGCAATCGTGCTGCATGTGCTGAGGAATGTGTACACGTAAACATGAACACGTACATCCATCCATACATCCATCCATCCATCCATACATAATACATACATACATACATACATACATACATACATACAGACAGGCAGGCAGGCAGACAGACAGACAGACAGACAGGCATACATATTTATACATATGTATACATCCGTTTCCATTTTGGCTCAAACCAGGCTTGCCAGGATGTCGCTACGCAATTCGCTGTTGCTCGGCATGGCATTTCTCTTGCTTCGCTGTGTCTTGGCCAGCTGTCAGGTGTGTGCTCATTTCATTATTGTGCGAGTGCTGGGGTCTGACTTCCCATCGTTTGCCGCAGCCATCGCGGCGTGTGAGGGCACTGCTTATGCTTGGATCGAGACGGTGCTACGAAGGCTTAATACTGCGGCGAATCTTGCCAAACACTGCACTCCCAATTCATGATGGTGCCCCCTTCGTTGTGCAAGCGGCGCCATGGAGCTAGGCGGACAGCTGCTGGAGGTGATGTGGTGGTGCTGCGGCTTGAGGCCCGACTTCCCTTTCCGACGCTGCCGACACGTGTTCCCATTCGTTTAGCTGATCTTATCGATGTTGTTGACTGCAGGCAGGAAGGTGCGCAGCACTTGAATGCCGAGGCGCAGGCGTTCGTCCCCTCATCGTATGTGCCTCCGCCATGTGCTCAGGACCTCGACGGCATGCCACGCTCAGCCGACTCTCAGAATTTGACAATTGCATTTTTGACCGAAGGCCTGGATAATGCACGGGCAGATCGAATGCATGACTTGCCTAGTCTTGAAATTTTCGCTGAATTGGACTCCAGCATCGCTGGTCTGGCCAAGTCGCTGGGCAGAGCTGTCAATGACTCCGTGGACCTCCGCCTCCACTCGAAGATTGCATATATTCGTGGAGGCTCTCGCCGGGAAACACTCTGCTTCAGAAGCGGGCTCCACGTGCGAGGAGCTGCCGAAGGCGACTACCGAGCCCGACGTCGTCAGCTATTCACCTGGGGCATCTAGTGTCGTCAGCTCCTGTGAAAAGGGGATACCGTGACCCAGACACTACCGAAGGCGACAGTAACCCGCGACGCCATCAGCTGCAATGTTATGGAATCTGCATGCGAGAAGATGTTGCAGTCGAGGTATGATGTCGTATGTTTCACGGCTGGGGTGGCCGCGCGTGAGAATTTGTCGACGGCGAATATGAAGCCAGGAACCACCTGCTGCAATGCTGGGGCGTCTGCGTTCGCGACGACGGGTAAGGATCCAGGGGGCCCCGACACCGTTTGCCACGCTGCTGGTGAGTCCGTGTGCGAGAATCTACCGAAGGCGAAGACAGACGTCATGAATTACTCGGATTGGGAGGCCGCGTGCGAGAAACCGCCGATGGAGAAGATGGGGCCAGACGGCACCGGCTACCCTGCTGGGACAAGTTCGGGCGAGAACGAGCTCAGAGATGTCGAAGGTAAGCCGATCCTCCTGCGTGACCTGGTGACGACCGTCGGCTTGAAGATGGTGGCCTTCAATGGCAAAACGGGCCAGGCGGCGCAGTTCGCGAATGGCCGAGTCTGCGTTTCTCTCGCGGGGGGCGCTGGCAAGAGCTTCAAGGCTGGGAACCTGAGGGTCGTGCAGAATAAAGGCTGTCTGTATGTGACGGCTCCGGCTCCGGCCCGGTGCCGGGCGCGTTCTCCTTGCCGCCTCGGCGGCCCCGCTGGTCTGGGCGTTGCGCGGTTCAGGCCCGGCCCTTGACACTGCGGATCGGCAGCGAATCGTGTGTGGCTTCCGCCCGTCCTCACGCGCTTGACGGCGCAGGGCAGACTTTTTCCTTGCAGCGCACCGGCATCCTGTCGGTCATCGGCGGCAAGTTCACGGTTCGCCTGGCTGCCGCGCCTCAGGCTGCGGGTCCCCATGTCCGTGGAGTGGACTACCACGGCTGGTACTCCTGGCATCACTTTGGTGGCACAACGTTGCTCTCCAACTCCGTGGTGCTCTTCTTCCTCTCGGGCGTCGACGTGGTCAAGTGGCGCGCCCTCTCCCGCAGTACGCGAGGCTGGTGTTCTCGAGCGCCGCTGACGGCTACACCACCGGCTTCTTTCCTTCCGGGACTTCACCTCCGGGCTCCTGTCCAACGTGTACCTTTTCTTGCACGTCCCGTTCGGCGCCGCCTGATCCCTGGGCTTCGCCCGCCTCGGGCCGCGTGAGGCCCCGCCTTCGTCCGCCTTTTCTCTGCCAGTTAAAGCTGTGCGCGTCCCGCTGAGCTTTCAGCGGAAGAGGTTCGCTCTCGCCCTGCAGATCAAAAAGTATGTGACCGCTCCCCTCACGTCCGCGTTCTCCCCCGATTGCTGCCCTTGCGGCGGTTTCGGCCCGGATTGCTGGAGCTGCCAGGATCGGAGGCGCTCGACTGGTGTAGTTTCAATATTTCCCCCTTCCGGCGGTCATTCCTGTGGCCCTAAACTACAAGGGACATCCTCTACGAGAGTTTCTGAGCAACTGCCGCCAGCTCCCGATCGCTAGATTGAACCCGAGCGAGCTACGAGCGGCACGTACAGATATACAAACAGAGTTGCATGCATGCGTGCGTACATACATACAGGCTCACATACACACATACGTGCATGTATGCATTCATGTATGTCTACATATGTTTACACGGTCATTCTTGTTTGCATGCATGTATGAATGCACGCGCGTACATACATACACACGTACATACCGACCTACCAACATACGTACCTATCTGGCTCGCTACCTACCGACCCTCCATTGGCCACACACACACACGCTTGCACGTTTACTTTTATATGTTGATATGTATACACACATCGAAGACGCCTATGGGGAATCACCGCCGCCTCCTGCCTTTTTGGATTCGCCCATGTGGCCGAGCGTTGCGGCAAGAGCTCTGCCAAGTTATCTGGCCATGTGTCCCCTCAGCCGCTGCGGGAATCCTTCGGGGAAAGCTTGGGGGATAATGGGAAGGAACATCAGGAGGAGGAGGAGGAGGAGGGGGAGGAGGAGGAAAAGGAAAAGGAGGAGGGGGAGGGGGAGGAGGAGAAAGGGACATCGTGGAAACCTCTGGGGGCACTCTTGGGGCCTCCTGGGAGCTTCTTGGGAGCTTATTGGAAGCATTTCTGGGGCCTTTGGGGGCTTCTCTGGTGCCCACTTGCGCGTCTTAGGGCGTTCCTGGCCCGTTTGACGCCGTCGGAAGCCGTCTGGGGGGCCTCTCTGGGCCGACTTGCTCCAGGGCCGTCTTGGAAACCATCTTGGGCGTCTCGCAGGCCTCTTGGGCTGTCTCACGGCCCTCTTGGGGCCGTGTCGGGGGCCTCCTGGACCATTCTGGGACTATCTTGCATGCCTCGTGGGCGATGTGGGGGGTTTTTTGGGCCGACTCGGGTTGTCGGAAGGCAGAAAAAAACACATGTTCAAAGCCTTCAAGAACCGATGGGACATCAATGACTTGGGCCTCTTCGGGTTTTCTGGAGGTCCTCTTGGGGGCCTCTTGGGCCGTCTTGGAGGCCCCTTCGGGGATTATTGCGGACCTTTTTGGCCATCTTTGAACCATCTTGGGCCGTTTTGGTGGCCTCTTGGGCGAATTTGGAGGCATCTCGGACCCTGTGAAGCCGACGTGGAGGCCATCTTGGAGCATTTTGGGCGCGCATGTGGACCATCTTGGCCATCCTCCAATCCACCTGAGCCGTCTTGGAATATGTTGTTGTGCAGCGGCGGGGCCTTTCGGGT